GCCCTGGTTCACAGCCCCTGCCTCCTCCGGGCCCTCAGCAGGCAGCCCTGCATGCCCCACAACCCCCGCCCCAGCTAGCAGCCTCCTGCCACTTTCAGATGCAAGTGTCAGAGCCCACCCTGAGGCAGCGGGGGAGGCTGGGCTGATGTCCCCTAGTGCTGCTCTGGGGTCAGTGGGGGAGAAGGGGGCCTGAGGCTGGCACCTTCTGTGCTGGTCTGGTATTGCCATTGTGGTGGAATGACTGGAGCTGGACATCGGGTGACCTTGCTCTGCTTCAGTGTCTGTGTTTGATTTTCTCAACCCCTGCCGGGAGCCCTCTCCTCATCACTAGGGTGTCTGGCACTGTAGCCTGTGAGCCTTTGTCCCTCTTTCTGCTCATGTGATCTGTGGGATCAGTTGGCACTTGGCATGTTCGGAGTGGCTCTAGGGGTGAGCACATTGTTTCTCTGGATTGAGGTTTGACTGGGCCCAGCAGCGTCCTGGATGCAGGGGGGATGAGTTGACTTGAAAGGGTTTAGTCTGAGAATGGGAGATGCCCACTCCCTGGACAGCTGATGCAGGTGGCAAAGGGATCAGAGCAGTTGGGCTCCTTTTACTAGGGAGCAGCAAAAAGGGCCATAGGGTTAGGTTGGCTGTTTGGTTTTGCTTTCTGCTTTGGAGATTTCTCTGCTCACAGCCTTGGTGTGTGCTTCCTGCTGTAGCTTGCACTAGGTTAGGCAGATCAATTCCCTCTTGCTGTTGCATGTTGTGTGTGGGAAAGAAGCTAGGTGCTGTTGGCTTCCTCCTCTGAGACACTAAGTGTTCACAGACAGATGCCTTAAACCCAAGTCAGCCTGTTCTGTGGTGGTCATTAACCGAAGCTGCAAGGGGCGCTGCATCTGGCTTCTGGTAGTAAGTGAGGTGCTGCTGCCTGTTGGTGGCTTTGCCCCATGTGGATCCTGGAGTTTGCACCTGATGAGATTAAATTGTATAAATCAGTGGTTCTCAACCAGGGGTCCGAGGCCCCCTGCGGGGCCGTGAGCAGGTTTCAGGGTGTCCACCAAGCATAGCTGGCATCAGACTTTCTAGGGCCCAGGGCAGAAAGCCAAAGCCCCCCCTAGCCCCACCACCATCATGGGCTGAAGCTGAAGCCTGAGCAGCTTAGCTTTGTGGTGCCCCTGTGGCATGGGGCCCCAAGCAGTCACCCTCCTTGCTACCCCCAATGGCAGCCCTGGTTTTTTATATGCAGAAAACAGTTGTTGTGGCACAGGTGGGCTGTGGAGTTTTTATAGCATGTTTGGGGGGCCTCAGAAAGAAAAAGGCTACAAACCCCTGGTATAAATAATGCTTTGCACTCTTTAATGGCCCCTGCCAGAGGAGCGTAATGTGCTTTACTAATGTTAGTGGGGCACTCTGAGGCAGAAAGAGCGGACATGACTTGCCCAAGATAACACAGGGAGCCTGTGGCAAAACTGGGACTAGGCCTCAGGAGCCCTGTGCTGTAGCTGCAGCCACAGCACTGTGCAGCCTGTCCATTAGTTATTGTAATTACTGAAAGGGCAGAATGTTTATTGGGTCACGATAAGATTGCTGATTCCACCTGCTGCCCTATGCTTGGGGTGGGGAGTTTGTTTACCAAAGTTGCTTCAGGGTTGGGGAAAGGAGATGATACTCCAACTGTTAAGGAGGGAGAATGGTTCACTTGGTTGGTGCAGAAACCAGAAGCTCGACTTACAACTTGCTTGGTCCTGGGATTACGGGAGGAAGATGAGGGCTAGCTGTAGAGGTTGGGCTCATGAAGTGTGCCTGGGATGTGGGGGCTGAAGGAAAGAAGCCTACATCGGATAGGCTGATAGAAGCAGCTAGAGCTCGGTGAGGCAAGCAAAAACCTAAATTGTCCCAGAAAGTGATGAAACAGATCCTTACGGGATGGTGATGAGCTAGTGTATTCTGGGCCTGGGAAGGCTATGATTCTGGGTGAGGTGATTCTGTGGCTCAAATAAGTATCAGTAGCTTGTTTCAGGCTATCTGGGGCTTAGTTTCATTCAAGGAGACTTAGAGCACCAGTATTTTCTCTCTTGGGCTCTAAGTAGCAAGCCTGGGGTGCGCAAGCAGGTTCTCTGATCTTGGGGCTGTGCCTGATGTTGCTAACGTGCCTGTTTGTGTTATAGGGTCGGTGGGGATGGAGTGAGAGGTGTCTAGCCAGGGATGAAGATGGTAGTTCATAGGTACAGTAGCAGCATGATGGCCCTTGAACAAGACTGGACTTGCTGAAGGAGGAGGAAAGATGGCAGGAGGTAGGAGCTGGGGGCTCTAAGGTGGTGTTGGTGCCAGGCCTCCAGGAGTCATGATTGCAGAGCGACTGCAGAAACAGAGTCTGGAAGAGCTGAAATGCACATCCTTCAACGTCAGCCTGGTAAGATGTTTCTCTTCCTCAACCTTGCAGGTTTAGTCCATGTTGGAAATGGTATCAAAATTATGTTTAGTTGTGGGGAGGAGGGGTCCACATTCTGCATCTGTACTGAACCAAGGTCCCAGTGTGGCGTCAGTGGGCGCTGTGCTGCAAGATTTGTTAGCTTTCAGGCTAGCTGTGAAATTGGAGCCTGTGTGACCTGTGGTCACTAAATAGCCCCAAGCATTTGAGAGCTTAACCTGTGGCCCCAGCTCAGGTAATCAGATTCTGCCCTCAAAATTCTCCATGCAGTTTTGGTGGGATTCAGCATTCCAATTCACTCCAGCCCTAAACTCTTGTGCAGTGCTGATTGCGCTCGTATTGAGGCTGTTGTCCCTGCCATGGAAGTGGCTGCATACCTGCTGTGTGGGCAGCAAGCCTTGGGAGGCGTTCATCTTTTTCTCTTTTGTAGAGGTCTTTGGGATCCCTTAGGATGAAAGGCAAGTTGTTATGAGGAGAAAGTATCTTCCTCTGTATTAGCAGGACTGTTGTAAGGAAGACACGAAGTAATTCTTCCACTCTACTCCGCACTGATAAGGCTTCAACTGGAGTATTGTGTCCTGTTTTGAGTGCCACATTTCAGGAAAGATGTGGACAAATTGGAGAAAGTCCAGAGAAGAGCAATAAAAATGATAAAAGGTCTAGAAAACATGACCTGTGAGGGAAGATTGAAACAAATTGGGTTTGTTTAGTCTGGAGAAGGGAAGACATGATAACAATCTTCAAGTATGTAAAAAGGGTGTTAAAAGAGGAGGGTGATAAATTGTTCTCCTTAACTACTAAGAACAGGACAAGAAGCAATGGGCTTAAATTGCATCAAGAGAGATTTAGGTTAGACATTATGAAAAACTTCCTAGCTGTAAGAGTGAAAAGCACTGGAACAAATTACCTAGGGAGGTTGTGGAATCTCTGTAATTGGAGGCTTTTAAGAACAGGTTAGACAAACATCTGTCAGGAATGGTCTAGATCAGTGTTTCTCAACAACCAGTCCATGGATTGGCCCCGGTCCCTGCGATCTACCTGACACAGTTTAGGAAGGCAGCAAGCATGGTATCAAAAAGGTTGAGAAACGCTGGTCTAGGTAATGCTTAAGGACTGAACTAGATGACCTGTTGAGGTCCCTTCCAGTCCTACATTTCTATGATTTTCCATAGCTCAGCATGTTACTAACTTTTTTGTAATAAGCCTGGTTTTTGTCTCCTCTTCCAACCCCCAAAATATTAACCAAAACAAATTCGTTATGCCTGAAATCTCACCTGTGGTCTTATGCCCAGAGCAAACTTTTTTTGTTTGGGGGTGGGGAGGAATCTCTGCTACTTAAAATCCCAGTCTCTCCTTTGGGATCATTGGCCTCTGTGCATAACTCTGGTGCCTGCTTTGGATCTCTGCTCCTGAAAGGTGAGGGGGATGTGGGCATGAGAGAAGAGAGGCGGAAGCACTGGAGTAATGCATAAGTTGTTTGAGCATTGCAATAGCAGCATGTTGAAACTGACAGGTTGCTATTTGAGAGAGAGAAGATAGGTGAGGGAATACCTTTTTATTGGACCAACTTCTGTTGGTGAAAGGTACAAACTTTCGAGCTCTTCTTCCTGTCTGGGGAAGGAAGCAGAAGTTGCTGTTTGGAATTTCACTCTGTTTGGGTAGTTAACTTGAATATGTGTTTGGGACTAAGGAGGGCTTGAAGTTCTTGACCCCTCTCCTGCATCAGCAAATCTCAGTTTTGCTCCCAGATCATACCTTGCTGCAGGCTCCAAAGTAATTTTCCAAAGGGAAATTGTGTGGTAGCTCCTCCCTGCTTGTCCAGTCCTGAACCTAAGATTTACATTAGCAAATCTTCTCTCTCCCCATACCCTGTCCCTGCTCCTCTTTCATCTGAGCTTCCCTATTTTGCATCCTGCTGTGTTGAACCAGCACTGAAACAGCCATTGGTGATCAGTAAGATCGCTTGACTTAAATCCGTGATTTAAATAACTGATTTTTATTAATGATTTAAGTCAGCAAGCAGGAAACTTTAAATAATTGATTTAATCTTGTTTTGCATTTGTACTTTTAATTATTTTTCTAAAGAGCGGTTCATTCGCATTGGTTGATATAACCATTGAAATATATAGAATTGCAACTCAATATAAACTTCATACTAAATTTGATACTACTTTCTGCCAACCATGAGGATATACTATATCTATACACATTTATATAAGCTATTATATAGATCAACATACATTCATTTGGATTCTTAATTTTTACATTTTTTATGATGTTAGAACAGTTGTTCTCAAACGTATTTGATCATACCCCCTTTTTTTTTGTCTGTAATAGTTTACTCTCTCCCCTCCACCACACAAGTCTTATACCGATAAAAAAATCAACATGCAACTCTCACTAAATATTTAAAACAGTAAGGCATTGATTCAAACAGGCTTTTTTGTTTTTCACTTGAGTTGTTTTTTTTTCTGTTGCACGAATGAGCCAACAATCCATAGTAATAAAAAATTGGAAAGAGTCCAGCGGAGGGCAACAAAAATGATTAGGGGGCTGGAGCACATGACTTATGAGGAGGCTGAGAGAACTGGGATTATTTAGTCTGCAGAAGAGAAGAATTAGGGGGGATTTGATAGCTGCTTTCAACTACCTGAAAGGGGGTTCCAAAGAGGATGGATCTAGACTGTTCTCAGTGGTACCAGATGACAAAACAAGGAGTAATGGTCTCAAGTTGCAGTTGGGGAGGTTTAGGTTGGATATTAGGAAAAACTTTTTCACTAGGAGGGTGGTGAAGCACTGGAATGGGTTACCTAGGGAGGTGGTGGAATCTCCTTCCTGAGAGGTTTTTAAGGTCAGGCTTGACAAAGCCCTGGCTGGGATGATTTAGTTGGGAATTGGTCCTGCTTTGAGCAGGGGGTTGGACTAGATGACCTCCTGAGGTCCCTTCCATCCCTGATATTCTATGATTCTATGATAATAAGAGCAAAAGCAAAACTGTGATTGTGGTAGATACTTAAAATGAAATGTGCACACCGTGTTGTAGCAAACGGATTAACGAGCAGATTGGCAACGACTTTATATAATGCTATGCAAGCTTAACAGAAATCTATCAAAATGCACAGCGCCTTCTGAAGACCTGATATGTCTGGAGCAGCGGTTCTCAAACTTCATTGCACTGTGACTCCCTTCTGACAACAAAAATTGCTACATGACCCCACAGGGGGGACCGAAGGCCGCCCCAGGCGGGGGTGGGGGAGGAGCAAAGCTGAAGTCCAAGGGCTTCTGCCCTGGGTGGGGGGCATATAACCTCAGCCCTGGGTGGTGGGGCTTGGGTTTGGGCTTCAGACTTGCTGGGGCCCAGGGCCAACACCAGCCTTGGTGACCCCATTAAAATGGGGTCGTGACCCACTTTGGGGTCCCGACCCACAGTTTGAGAATCCCTGGTCTGGAGAAATCAGCTTTACTAGTTATTCATTGGTGTGGGTAAAATGTGCACAGTATTTTTTTCCTAAAGCTTCTCACGCCTCGCCTCCAGAATACATTATGTGTCCCCTCCCCCCCCCCCCCCAGTTTGAGTGCTAGAAAATGGAGAGTGACACATGTCTTATTTACTAGATGACTTTCTACTTGTGATTTGTGTCAAGCTACTATTGGGATGGAAATTGGAATTCAATTTCCATCCCAACAAGTCAGGAAAAAGATCTTGGAGTTATTGTGGATAGTTCTCTGAAGATGTCCGCGCAGTGTGCAGAGGCGGTCAAAAAAAGCAAACAGGATGTTAGGGATCATTAAAAAGGGGATAGAGAATAAGACTGAGAATATATTATTGCCCTTATATAAATCGATGGTACGCCCACATCTCGAATACTGTGTACAGATGTGGTCTCCTCATCTAAAAAAAGATATACTGGCACTAGAAAAGGGCAACTAAAATGATTAGGGGTTTGGAATGGGTCCTATATGAGGAGAAATTAAAGAGGCTAGGACTCTTCAGCTTGGAAAAGAGGAGACTAAGGGGGGATATGATAGAGGTATATAAAATCATGAGTGATGTGGAGAAAGTGGATAAGGAAAAGTTATTTACTTATTCCCATAATACAAGAACTAGGGGTCACCAAATGAAATTAATAGGCAGCAGGTTTAAAACAAATACAAGGAAGTTCTTCTTCACGCAGCGCACAGTCAACTTGTGGAACTCCTTACCTGTGGAGGTTGTGAAGGCTAGGACTATAACAGCGTTTAAAAGAGAACTGGATAAATTCATGGTGGTGAAGTCCATTAATGGCTATTAGCCAGGATGGGTAAGGAATGGTGTCCCTAGCCTCTGTTTGTCAGAGGATGGAGATGGATGGCAGGAGAGAGATCACTTGATCATTGCCTGTTGGTCCACTCCCTCTGGGGCACCTGGCATTGGCCACTGTCAGTAGATAGGATACTGGGCTAGATGGACCTTTGGTCTGACCCGGTACGGCCATTCTTATGTTCTTAATTAAACATGCTCAAAACAGCATTTTAAAATTGTTTTATTTGCTAAATTAAACTATTTTAAATGTGCTGGAGACATAAAAAAGTAAGTTTATCAAAACATGTTACATCAGTATGTTTTAAATACATTAAACAAAGGAAGTATTAACTGTAGTTAGTGAGCTAACAGATTGTTTCCAGTCACCACAGACCAGATTCTCAAAAGTATTTAGGTGCCTGCCTGAAGGTACAGAAAAGTGCATAGTGGGATTAGGTGCCTAACTCCATTGAAATCCAC